TATATATATATATATATATATATATATATATATATATATATATATATATATATATATATATATATATATATATATATATATATATATATATTAGCAAATATTTAGGATGTGTATAGCGCTTTTCGCGCAATTTGGTTGGTTGTTCCGCTCCGGATTTCCTTGTACTATTCACCTCCGGGAAAAAAAAAACATGGCGGCTACAGACGAGCAAAATTTTGGACTTTCCATGGTTTCGGCAACCATGAAGAATGTCACAAAATTTTCTTTAACAATCGGTGTGGAGGTATTCATTACCTAAATTAAGTTATTAACAAAATTACTAAAAAACGTAAGTAAATACTGTTTTGTTTACAACTATTATGGGAGACTTTGGGAACTGTAAAACAAATAGTTCTATAAACATTTTCGTGCTTTTTGTTTATTTTTCGTTTGTTATAAATGTAAGTACGTTTATAGTGTTAATGTTAAGTTTCCTGCATTTCGCGAGTGGTACGCTACGATCTTTTTCTGAAGTTTTGGGATACTTGGGACACCCGTTATAAAACAAACGTTTATACCTCCCTCCCCATTACTCTACCCATCCCCTCCTCACCCGCCTCGATATTCAATTATGTTCATCCGATCACTCACTAAAGGAAGATATTGACAGAGACACAAGATTGTAATTGAATTTTGTCCGAATGCTACTAGATATCTAGCCTGCCAGCATACTCTCTTATAGCCTATATGGAAGAAGAAACTGCGCTCGTTTCATATAATTTTAATCATCGGTCCCTGGAATTATATCGCGAAATACACGAGTGCACGAAATACACGAGTTATTTGCGACATAATGACCGTGATGGGATAGTTATACCATAACTACATGTATACCATGTCCATTAAAAAGGATAAACCGATATACATACCTGTACAGTCACTGAAGAAACCTTTAAGGAAACACAGAGACGAAAGTTATTTCTCCATCGGTGATATGTATTTATCAAGTTATGTAGATAGCCAATATATTGCATTTCTAACTAATATTTCGTGAAAAGGTCACAAAGGAAATAATAATGTCCATAATGAAACTTATATGTTTGATACACAATTTTCCATTTAGTAGCGTTCGTTTTCAGGCACCAGAATGTCGAAGAAAATATGCCGAATGTTTCATAATAAAGACAAAGATCGTGTTGTATAGTCATACACAAACGTATTGCACAATACATTAAACCTCTATATTTTGCATGGGCAGCTCACGCCCTTTTTTGTATATTTTACACAATACGTGCATAGGCTCGTACAATGCAGTACCTAATACTAATATACCGGGACTGCATGAGGTAAATCCACAATAGCAAATTTTATCACCTTTAATTTAAAAGGTGCGAGTGGTCCCATAGCAAATATCAAGTTGTTACTTAGAGCATACATGCTTCTTCATATATTTGTTGAGAAATTTAATTTTTAAATACTCACTAGACTACATTTTACTTGGAGTAGTGGCATAACTTACTTTCTTTCCATCTGCGTGCAGTTGAGAATTCACAAATATAATTCGAATCAAAACTAAAAAAAATAATATTTCTTTTATTAACTGTGGTTTGGACGCCAATGGTTTTTTAATATTAATATTAAATAAATTAATTTAATTAACTATGTTCAATTGTAAGTGTCATGTTTTTCAATTGTTCAATTTCTTTGAAGAACATAAAAGTTTAATTACTTCGAAATACTTGCTTGGACAATGCCAATGCTAAATCGCCAACATTTTCCAAACATTGTTTCAACGTGAAGTACTTTAATAACTCCACCACGGAACGCAGGCTCGCGATGCTCGCGTCATGTTATCTATAGACTTGCCCCAAGTCTCTCTTTCATTGTCATATAGTGTCGATCCACTATAGTGTACATTACATGACATAGCACGCAGAGGTGGAGAGAGAAAGAGAGTTTAGTTTAGTTTAGTTTAGTTTAGTTTAGTTTAGTTTAGTTTAGTTTAGTTTAGTTTAGTTTAATTTAATAATTTCATCATCAAATTTACAGCAGATGATTGGCGAGCAGACAGAGCGTAGCCCTAATTGAATCTGACTACCATAATTACGAACGAATAACTTACATTATAGTACAAATTTACGACTAAAATTGAAGAACTCTTATAGAAAATGCTGGAAAATTACGGAGGTATATAATTATTCACAGTTTTGACAAAAAAGGTTCTCAGTTTCCTCTTAAAGTCTCCAATCTCCGCAACGGCCTTCAGATCATCTGGCAATAGATTCCAAGCTCTGATTACTCTTGGAAATATGAGTGTCGATAAAATTCGGTGTTACATATAATCTTATGAAAATTGCTAATGTTAAAAGATCTAATGTTATAACTGACAGGCCGTTTTTTGACAATATTTGAGACATCTAGTTCGTATAAGCAGTTTTGGCATTTAAAAAAGAAAACCAGATCGTTCCACGTTCTTCTATGTTCAAAGGGAAGCAAGTTCAGCTTAAGTAGTCTCGTCGTGTAATGGCAGTGTTGAGGGTAATACAGAATAAGTTTAGTCGCTCTTCGTTGAACATTTTCTAACCTTTGCTTGTATGTGACTTGTTCAGGGGACCACAGTTCGGATGCATACTCCAGTTGAGGTCTTATCAACGAACAGTACAGAGCTTTCCTGATATGGACATCTTTTATATCTCTGCATACCCTTTTAACCAAGCCTAAGGTTCTATTCGCTTTCAAAGTTATCTCTTGTATGTGTTGAGACCATCGTAGGTTATCTGTGACCGAGATACCAAGGTCTTTCACTGATTGAACTCGATCCAGCAAGTCGCAATTCATATCATAATGGATATGCTTGAAAGACTTTTTATGCGTCAAACACATAAACGCACATTTTTTAGTGTTGAACTGCATCCGCCATCTCCTACTCCAGTCATAAACATTTGACAGATCACCCTGAAATTGTTCCAAGTCAGCTTCGTTTTTTATTACTCTAAACATTTTGCTGTCATTGACATAAAGGCCCATTAGGGAAGGGGACGCTATTTGGTTTGGCAAGTCATTTATGAATATTGAAAATAATAAAGGTCCTAAAATGGAGCCTTGTGGAACTCCCGAGAAAACATCCAACCAATCTTAATGTTGTTCCTCTAAAACAACCCTTTGCTTTCGGCCAGCAAATAGCTTCCAAGCCACATCAATAATCGAAATCCAAATCCCACGAAATCCAAACTCTCCCAGTTTTTGTAACAACAAGGGATGTGACACTTTGTCAAAGGCTTTAGTGAAATCTAGATAGATTATATCGATCTCGTTACGTTTATCCAAGGCTTCCAAAATGTTATGATAAACCTGAATTAGTTGCGTAGTACAATTTTTCTGACGTTGGAAGCCATGTCGCAGTTTGTTGATTCTATAAGATATGAAATCATAGATGTGGTTATGAACACATCTTTCCAGTACTTTCGACAGGATGCATAATAAAGAGATCGGTCTCTAGTTTTCCACACAAGCAGCATTTCCGTCTTTAAAGACAGGTGTCACATTTGCTTCCTTCCATGCAGTTGGAATAATCCCTAATTTTAAGGACAGGTTAAAGAGATTACATATAGAAGGTGAAATTTGGTCGGCAGTTAGTTTCAGGATTCTTGCAGGAATATTGCCTGGGCCAGATGCTTTGTTAGGGTCGAACGCAGATTGGCAAGCGCGAACTTCACTTTCTGTCAAAACAATCTCGTTCAGGGAAAACTCATATTCAGAATAATTTTGGGAGTCATTGCATATATCAAAATTATTTTGTAAAAACACGGACTGGAAGAAATTGTTAAATATGTTCGATTTCACTACACTGCAGGACGAGAAATCTTTACCGCACTTTAGAAATTGGGGATACGAGGATGATTTGATAGTAGCTTTAACAAAACTCAAAAATTTCTTTGGATTGTCCTTGAATGACAGTTTTATATCATTTAAATAATCATTGCACTTGTTATTCAAAATTAATTTGGCCTCTTTCCCCTTAGAATTATAATTTTCTTTTGTTGGCCTGAATCTTTTGCAATTCTTCTTAACTTATTCTTTTGTCGAAAGATATGAATAACATCTTTATCAATCCAAGGCCGAGTATTGTTATCTTTGATGGTAGTTTGGGGTATATGTTCATCGACAATACTGAAAAATAAATCCATCCAATTTGACAACTATCTTTCATTGTAATGTCCCATGGGGTATGCTCAATTGTTGATCTAAGGGCATTCCAATTAACTGTTTTGTAATTATAAACTTTCCTCTTAGTGGGTGGTTTCTTGTTGATATTAAAATCAAGAACAAACTCAAACAACCGGTTGTCCGAGTTTATTACATCATCGAATATTTCTAATTGCTTCACTTTATCGGGAAAATTAGTAAGCAGTAAGTCTAAAATGTTGTCCCCTCTTGTCGGTTGGTCAGTGCATGAGTTGCCACAGGAAATTATCACGAGCAAGCTTTACAAGATCTGTATGTAAACAATCATTACGCTCGGGAGCCATAGTCTGTCAATTAATATCGGGCAAATTGAAGTCACCCATAACCAGAAACTGTGTAAAATGTGCTCTATTTGCCTTCCTTAAGCATTGTTTAAGGGCCTTTAGGGTAGCTATACCTGACCAAGGAGGTATGTAGAAGACCAGACACAAAAACATCTTTCTATCATTCGGTTTAATTTCACAGGCAAGTAATGCAGCGTCAGTTTCCAGATCAGTTCTCCTGACTGACTAAAGATGATGTCTTACTGCAAGCATCACTCCCCCTCCACGTTCACCAGACTCACGATCTCGACGATGTATGTTAAAATATGTGTTATAAATAATTTGAGTTTCTTACTGAAGGATTTAACCATGTTTCTGTGACTGCTATCAGATCGTGTTTGTTTGCAGATTCCATTGCTTCGAGATATTTTGCTTTATTCACCAAACTTCTCGAGTTTAAATACAGACACTTTAGCTTACGTTGACAGGTTGAGGATTGATCAGGTCCAGCTAGGGTTTAATTCGATATCAAATAACAGCAGTAATTTGTACGAAAAGTTGCTGTAGACTTACTGTAATACGAAATCTTTGACCCTTTGAAACGACCAAAAACAGTACACTTTCTTCTGATGCCTGGCCATTTTATATAATAAAAGTGTTGAGTTTGTTGTAAGTTTTCGAAGCTAACACTGATGGAATTGACGCGATGAGTTGCCAAAATATTTGTAAAAGCAGAAGGGTAGCATAAACACTCTTTAACATTATAAGTCGAATATAGCGACGAAATTGAGAATAATATGCATAGGAGCAAATGGACGACCCCCATTATGTATAATTGAGACTATAAATTGTCAATTTCGGAAAATCTCGGTTCAATACTGAACCGAAAACGCAAGACTTGCTTTAATTGTTTTCCTTCAATTTCTTTCTGTATTATTTACTAGAATGGAACTATGTTATTTACACTGTGCTAGATCAATACATATAAACACTGACAGAAACATTTATTAAAGCAAGTCTTGCATTTTCGGTTCAGTTTTGAACAGAGATTTTCCTAAGTTGACAAGTCTCTCTTTCTTGCTCCGCCCCTCCGTTCTACGTCATGTAATGTAGACTATAGTGGATCGATACTATATGACAATGAAAGAAAGACTTGGAGCAAGTCTATGTTATCTATGGCAACACGATAATTGCTTTCTTATTTTTTGGTCGAAACGGCAAAAAATAAATTAATATTTTCCACTTTTAACCATTAAAGTATTGATTTCTAACATGTATAAAGTAGGTGCTTATTTTGCTTTCCATGCATGGCCATTATTACAATATAAAATTCAACACGAAACGCTTCCTAAAACGTTTTTAAATTTTCATGGGAATTAATTGGGTTTTTTTTGCCGATAAACTCATCAACCTATTTACTTGTACTTTGAAATGAAATAAATTTAAATCCTACAGCAGGTCGCTCTGGAAAATAATTTTCTTTTTCTTTTATAAAAAATTAAAACAAGTTAATTCCAAGAAAAATTCACATAGAATGAAAAGGAAAGCTGTACGCACATGTTCAAGGGAGGGTCCTGAAGGGGTAAAATGGGAACTGGGATTTGCTTATTTTTGGGTGGGAAAATGGGATTTCATGCACTGGGACTGGGATTCAGCAGCAAAAAAAAACAATAGAAAATGGGAATGGGATTAAGATTTGAGCAGGACAGCCACTGAGATGATGGGATTTGTGCTCTGGGACAATGGGATTTAGTCAAAATTTGGGCTGGAAAATGGGAATACGACCCTCCCCCCTTCAGGACCCTCTCAAGGCCTTTAGGCGAAAAGTCCGAAAACTGGACAGCAAAGTCATAAATAACGAGTAAAACAAATTTACCCTGTACTTCAGGATTTCACACACTTTCTTTAAAATTTGAAAAAGGTGATTTACAACTTATCGTGTTGATATTAATAACTTACTGACCGAGAGTCAGGGCAGTACCGGAAAATATCCAACCGAGGTCTTGCTGTGTTGGCCGAGCGATAGCTAGCGAGGTTGAGATCAGTAAGTTTATTATTATATGGCATTGTACGGTTGTAAAAAATTGGGGAGAAGGTCACGGGAGGGCAATGTACAAAGTCCGATACATTTGAAAAAAAAAACTGTAAAAAATGTTCTCTTGGTTAGTAAAATTATACTCTACATGCTGCAAATTTTATATAGAATACTGACACAGTTTGGAGAGTATGTGAAGAAAAATACGAAGTATATTTCGTCATTTAACCAAAGACAACAAATATGAAAACAATAAAATAATAAGCAGCATGGACAAGTAAAGTTTTTAGTACGCTGCATCTTATATTTATGTAACTTGTATCAAACAAAAACAGAAATTTTCAGGGAAAAATGATTAATCTGTGGCTGCTTTATAGTTGTATTTTTTTTTTTAGGATGTCATCAGATTCCTCCTGACGGCTATCTGCAAACAAAATTTGCAACTTTTCACATAATCAAAACACAACTTTTAATTCCTGACTGCTTTAATAGTTATAAACATTGTAAAATTTTTATTGTGATTTCGACTTTCGCTAACAAAAACATATTAAGAAAATTCTTTAACCACAGAAGATGCTCCTTTTCTTTATTTTAGATTTATTCAAGTTCTTCGCTTTGACTATAGTTTTAAAGACTTTTAGACACTTTTTGCCGTTTGAAACTCGGCACTCGTCGCAGGGCAATAAACAATGAGATTTTGAGAATCCCGCGATAGCATATGACCCTGCACGGCTATTGACCAATGTTTCGCTGTAGGTATTATATAAAGCCAGTTCATGTATATAATCGCATGAAATTAAAAATTGGATTTTCCTACCATGCTATTTTTCTTGCTAACTGATGGGCTTGCTTTTAATTAAATGCATTTGTCACAAAATAATAAGCATCTCCTGATCATGGCTTGGTTGCAGATATCCACAAACACTGCATACTTTATCTGTGAGTCTAACTGACACATTATACTGACCTTTCTGTCCTGGTTTGTAAATCGGTTTGTCAGTTTGAATAAAGATTTTCTTTGATAGAGCTTCATAACCAACAGTTTTCTCTGTTGTTTTTCCACATACTGTAGCTAAAACTCTCGGCTTATATAGCCCTTCAGGTACCTGAAATGAGAATTCTGTTAATTCTTATAAATTACGAACTTAACTACTGCACATGTCCATTTAAACACGGAATAAACTTCAGACAAGTTAATAAGTTGTTGATGCCTGCATACGTCCTAGGAAATCCTCGCCAGTAATTTTCACACGCGGAGTCAAACTCGTCTGTTCAAGATTATTTGTCGATTTTCATTCAAGTCAGTCCATATACTTTCTTTGCTAGCTATATATTAAGTATTGTAATCGGTGACGGTGAGAGGATACAATGGTGCACTCAAACAAATGCATCACGTTACGGAAACGTACCTGCAGTTCCAGCATACCAGCTTCATTTGGTTGAAAATGACCCCATGCTTGTCGAATGACGCCTCTATTAATGGGATCAAACAATCTGAGTCCTACGTCACAAGGTATTCTGCCAAAAATATTGATACCAATATTGTGCGTCGTACCAGCTCGAAACACTCGTGGTATGACGATCAAATAGTGTGTGTCATTGATTGCTCCATTGCTGTAAAGACAGATGGATAATTTCTATTGAAAATTGAAATTCGGAATTTATCCTTTAATAAATAGTTTAATTTGAAGTCGTGGTTGTTTTCAATTGTGCAGATTTTAAACTAGGATCTTGATTTACGGAACTATACCCAATTGCCGAAATCGGAAAAAGGGATACATGCGGAAAAAAATTAATCACGGGAGAAAAGATAAAATGCATCAAAAGGGATAAATGCAGAGGCGTAGGAACACAGGGGCCAGGGGGGGAGCAGCCTCCCTCAAGTTTTGCCAAGTGCCGTTTTCTTGCGTGGAAAACGTCATTAAAATTGCATTTTGAAAACTTAAATCTATGTTATTTCCGCAAATTTTTTCTTCACTTCCGGGAAAAATATCATATATCCGGAAACTTTTATGATAGAACACCTCGCCAACATTTCCGGGAAAAATGTTTAGATGCCCTTTTTTTCGAAAATTGCCACTCAAAGCCGGCCCTCCCCAGAGTTGACTTCGCCGCCCTAGATAAATGCATGGAAATGATAAAGCAAGCTGTGCATTGTAATTGAACAGTCGATCAATTTCATATTAAGAGGAGATTATTGGACAAGAAACAGGTCCAAATCGCTGGTAATCCTGTTGTTTTTGTTGTAATAGGGGGCGACGCTCTTTGTCCGATCGGAATGATACTTGACCTAATTAATCTGAGCAATATTTCGCATCGATTGACGTTGTTCGATTTTTCATTTTTGATTTTAGAAGCAAGATAAAAGCAATTTTTGACTGTATTCCTAGTTATCATCATTAATCATAAGCCTTAAGTTGAACAGGTGGTAAATTCGCTGTCGCAGGTCAGTAAATTTCGGGCGCTAGCGAAAACTTTGTTTTAAATTATTAAAATGAGCAGAATGGGGATTTTCGTTTGGGAAGAAAACAGTGGATGTGCAAGAATTTAAGCTCGTTTATTCAAAGGCTACTTACGTACTGAAAATTGTCATGGATAAAAGACTTTAAAGTGAAATCAGACAATTATAAACTATTTATTATATACTGAGGAAATTTAACTTTTTTCGAAGATGCAAGTTGTTTTCACCCCCTGGGCAGATGAAATTGAAATATTAAACTCACGTTGAGTTTAAAATAAATTTAACGCATTTTTCTACTCGGAAATATCTGTAAGAAGTTTATTTATTATTAATTAACTCAATTCGATCCGCCAATATTAATTTCCGACGTATATGACGGGAAGATTAAATATTAAAGAACTTCGCCAGTATTTGCAGTAGACATACGAAAATACCACCAAAAAATTCCGCTTGATCGATACTATATATTCAGAAATATTCATATAATTTTATTGTTTCTCGCTCAATTTCAAGCGAATTCTTACCTTGAAATGATCAATGCGGTGAAATTTATGCAAATGACACATTATCAATTTTGCTGTTGCATTTTGAATGTTCCGCCTGATTCAAATGCTCGTCTTTTGCTTCTTTTCAACGTATAATAATAACAAATATACCAAAAGAATCGCCATCTTCCATTCTATAGCTCGGAGCAGTCTCGGGAAATTGCAAAATAATCTAAGCCTATTA